GTACCTGTACAGGTCCTGTACAGGTCCTGTACAGGTCCTGTACAGGGCCAACAATAATGTGAGATTGTTGGTACTTCTAAGGTTCAACCCAAACAGCTCTAACTCTGTCATCTCTCAACACAAGATGATGTGAGGCAGTGAGAGGCATTCCTTAAAGAGTCCTGGGCCTTTGTGTTCCTCAGYTTCTGTCACATTGGTCCAGTGTTTGGGTGTCAGCTGCATGAAATGTTCCTGTTTGTGTAAACTCCAGGCTGGACTCATGGAGAGCATCCTGCTGTCCATCCACCATCGTCCCTGGCTCATGGGCCTTTACGTCTTCGTCGTTGGACTTCCCATCATCCTTTTCATAAGCTTCATGTGGCCTGATAAGGTATAAAGCTCATTTACGTGTGGAAGTTGTTGTTGATGTAGTGCAGCTGTGAAACTGTACCTGTGTGGTTTGTTAAAGAGGTTTGGACCACCAGATCAGCCGTATTATTATAAGAAGTCAGATGAGATTCAACCAGACGATCCTGAGACGTCACCGCTGAGGAGCTCAGCACATGTCAAAGGTAACATGTTCTCTGACTGTTGTAGTAATCATGGAAAACAATCCCAGTTGGTGTATTTCTGGTTTGTAACCGTCTGAACACCCAGGGCTTTTTGAACAATATTATGTCAATTTGTAAAAAAAACAAACCTCCTGAGACCCAAGTTTTTTCTGGTTATGCRTTTTTTCTTTCTCTAAGATACACTTGATTAATAGGACCTAATAAGTATAATAACTAGACTTTGTCATGGTACAGGAAGTGGTTTTTGCAAAAAAAAAAAATGATGTCCTCATATGAGGACACTGGGTCTCAAAATATCACAGTTTTTGAGGAATACCTAAGAAATTACAATGTGAAACTTCATCATCATCATCGACAACTTTCAGATTGCTCTTCAGTTTGAAGAACATATTATGTGACATAATGGCAGGGAATCGCAGCCCATTTGACCCAAAACATCATTGGTACAATTAACTGGTTGAACAAATATACCTCTTACACTAACTATTTACTTTTGTAAACTTTTCTAAATATTTGCAGGTTTATCCTACCTCATGGCACAATTAATAACAAAATTATAGTCCCAATGTCCTCAAATGAGGACTTTATCTTTTCTGACATTGTACTTTGCTTCAGATGTAAAATAATATATATTTTTGCATGTCTTATGATGCTAAAGATGTAACTGTGCATAAATACACTGGTTTCAAGTGTGAAATGTGACCTGGATTTTTACTTTGGACATTTTTCTGACCAGAGTTGTTGTAGAAACATTTCACTGGGATCCTCCTGACATCTTGTTTTCACTTAAATGAGTGTAATATTGTCATGGAACCACTAGAGGGTGCTGGTAGTGTCTATTAATGAGGCCAATAAGTTGAAAAAGTATATGTACCATGGGTAGAGAGGGGAAAAGGCAATGTCTGCATATGAGGACGCGGGGTACGCACTTTCAAGCTAGTCACTTTTATAAACAATTTTGCTTTGACTTTTTTCGAACCACGTGTTTTACTAAACATTGTGTGAGCCGTTAGGACATCCCTGAAACTGCTTGTCACACAGTTTTTTCCTGCATTTTTTCCACGTACACTGTCCAGCCAAGCAAAGGTCACCACCTGGCTTTGAGTAAGCAAAGAACTGATAAATAAACTGGATAATTACTGCATGGGTGTTAATGTCTCAGCTGCAGCCATTTATTTAACCCTGACTTTTGAGGTCCTGACTTGTCACTTGTTAAACAACCATGTCTAAAGACACATCCTGTGCAGGGAAATAGTGTTTGTGTTTTTCAGAAAAGTCAAATTATTGTCATCAAGAAGAGAAAACAACAAAGATGAGATTGCAGAAACAAAGAACTGTCCAACACATGAAAAACTGGAAGGACTGAGGAGAAACACCACTTTCAAGGAAGGAATGTGGTTGGAAAAAACTTTGACTGATCTGTGTTTGATAGAATCAGCTGGTAGAAAGACAACAGAAGAACTCAGAGCTGTGTTTAATAGTTAAAGTTAAAGCTTTTCCACACAAAACCATCAAAACCACCACAGAATCCAGACCTGAACCTCATGCAAATCTTTGGGATGTGCTGGAGAAGGCTTTTCACTGGGGTCTGAATCTGCCATCATCAATCTGGACAGTCATAAACGTTGTGACGTTACAGAAGCTTGTGGAACAGAGGATGTGAGTCGTATCAAAACTAAAGTCAGTCCAACCAAACATTTTACTGTGTGACCTGTTGCTAAGCAGGCAGTGTATTTCAGATACTTCCTGTACCTCATGATGTTCTGTACTCTCTGTATGACTGGATCAGGATGGAGTTATATGCTTGAACACGAGCTCCACCTCAGAAAACACCACGTTTTCCATGTACCACCATTAATGCACATTAAAAACCAGTAGTACCAGTTGGTTTGTAAGCTTGTACTGAAATGTGTCAGAATGAATATCTGACATAAACAAGCAAACTGACCAACTAAACACCTAACTCTGACCTGAAAAATACTAACTACTACCTACATACCTGTCAAACCCTCTCTGGCACACTTCCCTGTCACAATAAAAGCCTTCCTTTTTAAGACACTGTTTCCTGTTTGGACCTTCTGGTCTTGATATTCTGAAATATTGTTAAAAATGTAACATCTCAACAGCTGCACATGAAGTTACTTAAAAACCTTTTGACATCTTTTTATTTTTGTAAGGGTGTCAACAGTGGTGGGCAGCGCTAATCCAAAAATTAGCTCTGCAATTTCTGAAGTGATTGTGAAAATATTTAGGTCCACAACTTCAAAAGTGCTTATGTCATAGAAAAATTAGCTGAAGCTTATTTTAAAGCACAAATTCAATTTGACACTTAGTAGATGACAATTCATGTACAATACACACACAAAACTGCCAACTAGTTGTGTACGAACACTTTTACAACTTAATCCTACAACCTCTGATTGCTGGGGATGTGATTTCCTGAAACAGACCTTTAGCTCCTGGTGTAAAAATTAAAAAGTTGTTGAGGATTGCTAGTTCGGCTGCTTCTTTAAAAAGTTGTTGAGGATTGCTAGTTCGGCTGCTTCTTTGTCTTTTTCTTTTGTTTGTTGTAGATTTTTCATTAAGGAAGCATCAATAAAGTAATTTTAAAACTGTTTATTGGAAAACTGAAGCGATGCATTCTGGGTACATGAGGGACTGACAGGAAACGAAAGCACGGGGAACAGGAAACTGGTATCTTCCCTTCAAAATAAGAGCTTGGATTTTAAAGTTTTCCATGTAGTTGCTCCAGTTGACCACTAGATGTCAACCTTCACCAGTATAACATCTTTAAATCATTTCTGTGTCAATAACGCCGTTATCTGAATGTTTTCAAATTCCAGTGTTTAAACTTTATTTTTCTTTTTTTAAAAAGGAGCTCTGATAGTAAAGTAAAATAAATCAATACATACAAAACTTTAGTATGGATTACAAACGTTAACTGTTTTTGCTGTTGCCTTCCTGCTACGTAAGCAGGCACAAAGCATTGTGGGAAATCAGAAGCGTGACCCAAAGCAACAGTCAGCAGGAYGTATACCTTCACAATAAGAGTGTTTATCTGGGAGGGGTGCTGTTGGATAGATCACATGTGTTGTGATTCATTGACAGTCATACCTTCTGCTGTTCAACATAATGATGACTGCTAGATAATTAGTTATTAGTGGAACTGCTTTTTAATTTTAGAAAGTGCAAATCCACTTATGAATTATAATAATTAGTAAGACCGCTACAGCACAAATTAAATATTTATGTCTGCAATTAGCAGATTTGCGCATTAGCGGACTGGTGCCCACCWCTGGGTGTCAAGTTAAAGGTAAGAACCAGAGGGACTCGTTTGACACCTTGGTTTTCAAAATAAGTAAATAAATAAACAAACAAATGTATAAAATAATAATAAAACAATCCCTCGGTAGAGAGTTCCACTGTTTTTGCCCACCGGTGGATCAAAATGAACTACTTGTCGTTTAGTGATTGCAGTTATTTTAACCTGAATTTGTCTTTGGAAAGTTGACGTCAGTCTGACCTCCTGTTAACTTGACTTTTTAATTAGAATTTCTCTCTGATTCTTCAAACCTGTAATGTGCTGACTGCTGTCTATTACAGGTAAGATACTGACTGCTCACCAAAAAAATTAACAAAATCTTACTTAAAACTTTTAAACTACGTAGTTAAAGATTTTTACTTTATGCTCCATGAAAACAGAGGGTGTTTTTACAACATTTTGATCCTGGTTTAGTGCAGCAGCTGAAAACTGTAAATCACAGTTTGTTGGTCCTTGGAACACTGTGGGATAAAATCTGATAAAACTCTCTCTCTCTCTATGTGTGTGTGTGTGTGTGTGTGTGTGTGTGTGTGTGTGTGTGTGTGTGTGTGTGTGTGTGTGTG